ATACTAGGATGAGACAACAGTCTAGTTCATTCTGGTTCATTGGTTCGTAGTGCGGCGTCGAGTAGCGGTTGACTATGATCACCACTACAGAAAGAATACGTGCCAGTTAACCGATAAGATCCCCCCGTAAGCCAAATATCAGAAGGCAGTTGATGGCTGTAGTCGAGATGTATTTGTTAGTGATCCCGTCGTATCGAAAGAATACCGAGATCGTGCCAGGTTACAAGTGTGGTTACTGAGCGTAACCGAATTCGTGCAAGGTCACAATCAACGGAAGAAAGTATGTATTCCGGTACAGTTAAACAAGCAAGTACGGTAAAACAATCCCCGGCACAATTGGTTATAACACCAATCGCGTTCTCTTGATAAAAGTAGGTCACTACAAGTTGTCCATCTAAAATCACTCCATGATGTAAACTACAAAATCCAACATGCTCCTTAAATCCCCCCACCCCAAACCTATAGCATTCTTTTATCATTTAAGAAATAACTTAATGTCTTATATTCGATTGTAGGATTTTTCTTAAATGTCTGTTACTGATCAAATTATTATATACTACAAACCTGTATTGATTTATCCTCAATTAGTCATATAACAGTATTGACCATATGTCTTACATTTTATGAAACAATATAACCATAATGAGCCTCGTGATCATCTAACATATTCGCATAGTGATAACTGTATAATACACACGTACATGCCCTGTAGGGTTATTCACTTTGGTAAATTGTAAGAACAAATAATAAACTATAACACTTAGTGATAATAGTAGATATATATTTTTTCTAAAAAGTATCCAATGTCCATAATCGTTAACAGAATATAAAAAATATTTTGTTCTATAAAAAAGCATGCTTAAATTACATTATTTGATTTTTTTTTCTTTTTTTTAAAAAACTAGAAAAACAGTCCACCTTGGCAACTAAATATTGATTTATTGATTTATTGTATTATAAAATGTTTTACAGATTTATCTAGGAGCAATGAAACATATGGTTTAACACAAAAAAAATTAATAAATTGATTCATCATTTTAAAATGTTTAAATGGACGATCATGGTTACCATGAAAGATTCATTCAAAACATAATGCAGTTAGAATTATTTTTGTGTAAGTATAACTCTGCATGGAGCGCCCCCCCCCGCACTCCTGAGGTTTGTGACGGTTTGAAACTCGGATAAAGGAGGAGGGTTAGACATGAGGTTAACGACTTCATCTCATAACAAAAACTAACTCGATAGAAAACAAAAACGTTAACCAGAAAAGAGTATAAAATGTCATGTGTTGATGATCTAATAGTTGACTGTTTAACTTGACATATGTGGAAACAAGTAAAAAAATTTACAATTCATTGATAACTGTGTAGTGACTAATGTTGTGTATGTGTGTAAAGTCTTTCTTAGTATAGATTTAACATTATCGAACAAGTTGCAATGTGACCAGATCGCGTGCCCTATGTTGAGATTTCGTTAATCCTATATCTGACTCTAGAACGATCGTATGAATGATTGTTATTGAAATATATATGTCGGTTATCCATGTGTATAATTATCGACTTAATCCGTGTTGATGAATAAGGGAATAACGGAATCAAATACGAGAATGGATTTCGAATATGTATATTTTGAACAAACAATCAGAGAGACGCAGCAAAGAAAGCGAAGAAGAAGAGAGAGAAGTGAAACAAAATGGCGCACAGTGGAGAAGGCCAACTGGATTCAACCAAGTGTTAATGGATATTTATAGCCGAACAAAACTAAGTTACAAACATGTGATGAGTAAGATAGGAAATGAACACTTATATGTTTACATAAATGCAGTCAAGGTTGATAAGTGAATAGTTAACATGGTCAAAACGTGATTCAAATAGATTCAAATACCATAAGGGCGGCCTGCCTGAGCATCTGGGCTACCTGTTCCTGCCATCTAGATATTTCAACAAGTTATCTATTGTTGTTTGTTTTAATATATCATTATGTTTATCAATCGCATAACCTATTCTGCTGCGTTTCTGAAAAGTGTACAACCTTTCGTTGTCAAAGTTACAGAAAACTCAATAAGAGACAATATGGTTGCTGGCAATGTACAACGAAAAGAATGTACATTATTCAGTTGTTCATTCACTGAAGTGCTAACATCTAACTGGCGATTCCTCAATATTTATCGCCAGGACCGACCAAGAAGAAGGAAACGGAAACTTGTTGAAATACTTTGCGCTGAGAATTCTATATTGTACCAAAATTATAATATTGAATAAAGCTAATAATAATAATAATAATAATAATAATAATAATAATAATAATAATAATAATAATAATAATAATGATGGATAAATTGGCTTGTCTAGAAGCTAGAATAAGTTATGCGGGCTTAACGTAGCAACCGACAATACAAGATGAGGTGGTGATTGGAAGTAGTCGGCTGGATACCCTTAATCCAGGTTTCGTGTTATTCGGCACTTTGATATTCAGTAGTATTGTAAAATCCAGTCTTTAACCACTTTTGTTTGGAAAGAATTTCTTTCATCTAGGACCATCTAAACAAAATCCAGTTTATGGTGCAAAAATATTAACTCTAAAGTTTTAAAAATGAATTTCGACAAATTTATTATTATCAGAATGGGTTTTGTGGAGATTTTTAGAAATTTCACCGCTGAGGAGTCTCATACTAGGACGAAACGGCCGTCCAGTGCTTCCAGGTTTTCCATGGTGGTCTAGCTTCAATTGACTCATGATTTCAACCTGTGGAATTTATTATTACCAGAAGGAGTTTTGTGGATATTATAGTAATTTTAATAGTTGAGATCAATTAAGTCAATTGAAGCTAGACCACCATGAAAAATCTGAAAGCACTGGATGGCCGTTTCGTCCTATTGTGCAACTCCTCAGCAACGCACATCCACGATCCCGCCTCATGAGATCCGAACCCAGGATCTATCAGTCTCGCGCGCGAACGCTTAACCTCTAGACCACTGAGCCGGCATCCAGAAGCGTTAATATCTAACTTTTCGTTACTTTATTGACGTAATTCAGAAGGTACCCTTTGGTATGTTACGAAATGCTCAAGAATGAACAACCTATGCATTTTGCTTCAAAATAAGCATGTAATCAAGAATCTGTACATCGAATCGGTTTTTTTTCCAGGTATTTAATACTTCGGACACAAATGTATCAGAATACCTACATGGATATTGCAATATGTTTGTCTTAGTGACTTAAAAGGACGATCATTACTGAACTTCAGAATATTAAATATTTTCGTTATATGTTTAGTAGTTACATTAAATGAAATCTGAGTTGTTTAGTACTGACCTCAATAAATTGAATGTCAAATATCAGACACAACAGTCAGTTTCTAAGATGATCTAGGAGTATACGTCTCCCCATCTATACTCAAACTAAATCAAAAGAAAAAGATCTACTTCAAATGAAAGTGAGATGATCTGCTGAAGAAGACCAGAAAGATAATATAATACCACATGGACAAAAGGATAAATAAGAAATCTATGTATTAGTATGTTTATTATGTATGAAGGGATTTTTTATTTGAATAAGTTTATTGCCAATAAATTCCAATGTGGACCAGTCTATTATTAGATATATATGTATATACATAATTTGTGCACATGTTTATTTTCAGGATGGCAAAGACCCTATTCAAAAAACACAAATCTATATATTCTTCAATGGAACTCATATTTACACATCAAATTTACTCTTTCTTTGTTGCTTGTAATGTTATTTACATGTTTTACTTTTAGTCATCACTTAACTACCACAGATTGAAAAAAGCACCTTCAGAATTACTTTTTCTGATTAGCGTTTTTTAGCGAGTTAGTTTTCTACGGGATGGGTCTTTAACCACATACCCAACCCTCCTTCTTTACCCGGGCTTGAGATCAGCAGTAGCTTCAGAGGGGCTCCATGCAGAAAGGACAAACCAGCGCTTCTTCCTGCACTGGAAGTGGATAGAACGCACATTGTGAAAAGCGCCCAACTACCTCACAAGACAAGCCCTCACTTCGAATCCTCAAGGCCGAAGGAGGAGAGAAAAACCAAATAACACATTACGCCGAGAAGTGGGGAAATACATTAGAAGAATGAACAGCTATTGGATAGAACTTGAAAGGAGTGTCCAGGATAGAGTGGGCTGAAGAATGTTGGTCGGCGGCGTATGCTCCATTTGGGGGGGGGGAAGAGGTGGAAGTAAGTTAGTAATTTTTGTAGGCAAATATTCGTGATTATCAAACAAGTGATATTCTAATTCCTCACTTCCTCTCTTTCCACTGACCATGTATGTATATGATAAAAAATCGATCCATTTTAATTAAGGAATTAATGAAAATATCTTCTTTCGAACCACTTAGATAGGGCTATCAAAGTTAAGGAAGTAAGTTTTTTTTATTGAGATCATGAATTGATTGATGTTATATCACCATGGAAATCCTGGAGTCATTAGACGGCCGTTTCGTCCTATTGTAGGACTTCTCCGTAGTGAGCATCCACGATCCCGCCGCTTCGCGGAATTCGAACCCAGGACGCAACAGTCTCACGCGCGAACGCTTAACATCTAGATCAATGAACCGGCATTCAACGGTGTTAATGTCTAACTTCAGCCAATCCAAAAAAATTGCGCGACCATCTTTCATTGTATTGAGGTAGAAACTTGCCTCTACCCGACACGAATTAACTCCACTGGTTACAACTTCCCACTAGAACTCCGAGAATTCCTTCATGAAGTTAGTCACTAGTGAGCACATGGTATTGATACTTTTTAAAGAAATAAATTTGTACATGTAAAGTCTGTTTATTTAAAAATCGACTAATTTAACACAATAAACATTTTAATATTCATTCAATAAGAAATAGTCTTACATGTGTTGTACACTTGAAAATGATTCTCTAAAGGAGAAGATGAAGAAGAAGAAGAAGAAGAAGAAGAAGAAGAAGAAGAAGAAATATGGTAAACATTACTGATTCCTATACATATTTACATATTATATAGTATACTGAGATGATGAGTAAATACTTGGTGAAGGTATAAAATTTAATCTAAATATTGAATTTAATTGAGGATCTATTAGGTGATTATTCATTGGATTTAATGGACTAAATTTTTCTATAGATAGATAATTGGATAAAATAGTATGAGAAGGTGAATCAAAATGCTTGAAATGTGTACTTTGATTATCAAGTATTAAATCATTATGATTGTTGCTATGTGGATTGTTACTAAGATTAGTATCAAAGAGAATGGTATTGTTTTTATTATAAGAACAATCATTTATTAAATTATTCATTAAATTAGGATCAAGAAATGAAAATAATGGTTTTAGTGTTGAATAAATAGAATTACTGGATACAATATTAATTTTATCATTGTCATCTTGTATAGGCATAGAAATTTGACCGGTTTGTTCATCACTTTTGTGTCTGTACTGATGATTCCTAGATGGTACAAACAAAGATGAATTGGTTACTGACTGTAACATTGAAATAGTTGATGTTGGATAAATGAATGAAGTTGAAGAACAAGGCGACAAAGAAGTTGATTTCGCTACTGATGACGAGAGGATTGGTGGTGATAATGAAAATAATGAGGAGTTTACTGAAGATACTATTGGTAAATATTTTATTGAATCAGTAGAAACAGTTGGGTATGGATATTCAGTAGGATTAGTTGGTTTTATGGATTCATATTGACATACTGAAGGGTTTTTCGACATAATATCTAACTTTTCTTGTAGTTCATTTAAGCTTTTTGTAAGAAGTAGGATGTAATTTCTTGCCAACAATAATGTTGCAATTTTAGATAATTTTCTCATAGATGAATTTTGTGTGTATGGTAACACAGACCTAGAAACAAAAAAATAACCGTTTAAACTAATGTATATAATCTACTTGTTGAAAAACAATTAGGAATAGCATAAAACATGGCGCTTGAAAGACAAGTGGTTACATAATGGTTAATAAAGGAATTTTACTGCATACTCGTTAAATAAGATCGTCTAGAAACCAAAGAATCTCTTATAAATAATCGTTTATTGATGATATTTTTGATAGTCACTTTTGAATGTTAAAACTCGTCATGAAATCTACCTAACTTTATCGATCTGTTCAGCAAAGAGTAAACAAAAGTTTAGTACTATTTAAAAACTGACTAAGCACATTTTTAAACAAAGATGGATAGTGGCTATGCAGTGGAATTCAGGATGCGCGTTTCATCATATTTGGGACTCCTCAGCTGGGTGTACCTGAATACCAGAGTTAATGTTCACCCCGAGACTCGAACTCAGTACCGTTCTCTTCAAACGCCATTGCGTTATCCACTTAGCTACTGAATCCTGATAGCCACCTGCTTGTGCAATGGGTGAAGTTTAAATTCACTTGGTGTTGTTTTACTTGTATCTTCTCATTGTTATTTAGGATGCAATTGATCAGTTTCATGTTGGCATTTGTGCATCCTGTGCGGATCGCGTCGATATAGCCTAAAGTCACAATTTCTTAAAGTAACTGATTAATTTTTTTAGTTAAACCTAGAACAATGATCGTAGCAGAACACTATGTATGTACTGGGTTCGAGTCCCAGAGTGAACATCAACTATGCGATGCAGGTACATCCAACTGACTAGTCTCAAATAGGATGAAAGGCGCGTCAAACTGGATTCCACTGTTAGTCACTATTAATCATTGCTTAAATAGCTTGTGATTTAAGGCTATATTGAGGCAATCCTCATAGAATGCACATATGCAAACAAGACACTGATCAACTGCACTCCTAAATAACAATGGGAATATACAAATAAAACAACATCAAGTGATTCAGTATAGTTCAGTGATAAATCATCATAGTCTTTTAAGTTCTATTTCAAAATGACTAGTAGAATGTGTAAACAAGCAGAAATTTTTTTATCATGCAATCCTTTGTGTTATCTGCATAAAACAATAGTACGCTCACTTATCATGATTTAATAATCACTCAGAATTAAGATTGAATTAAAATTAGTTTATTCTTAGAGTGAGATTCCAGAAAATATTCTCCACCTTCTTGAAAACAAACTTGGGCCTCTGACGTATCTGAAATAATACGTTTCTATATCAAGATATTTAGCTAATGTTTATTGTTTAGTTGTACTTAAATAAGAATATTTCTTTATAAATGTCAAACACAAATCTTATCCAGTAACTGCCCTCAAGGTAGGAAGTATTCTAGTTTCTTCTTACCTGGTATTATGACAATCAATAATTGATTGACTTATTTCAAACTGAATCAAAAAGAATAATATTTTTAAGGGTTTAGATCTTCCCGTTGTTGATATTCATAACTTATACTGTTCAATTCCTATTAGCATAAGGGGTTAATCTTACGAATGACGGCAATGTCTGTCATTTTATATTGACTCTGTAATTAGGGAATAGTTATAGTAAATTAATTAAAATAAGTGACATCAAATAAATTACAGTTTCCACATACCTCAATCCATCCATGGCTAAATTTAAATCATGCATTCTTTGTCTTTCACGCTGATTAATATTTAAACGTAACTCTTGTAATTCTTCATCTGTAACTGGAGGTAATATATCAGTATTAATTGTATGGTTCTCTGAATTATGAGTATCGTACATATTCGAATCCACACCCAAGAAATCTGAATGATCAGTTTTTGTTTTATTATTCGTTTTCTTTCTAGGATTACGTAACTGTATGGTTTCACGTTTCCTTTTATTGATTAATTTAGCCAATAAACGAGGTCTGGATTTTATTGGAGTAGTTCTCTTTGAAATTAAATTTAATGAATCAGTATTGATGCTATTGAGATTGACATTTTTATATAAATCATTATCAGAATCTTTAAGTTGCATGAAATCGCTTTGTGTATTTCCTAAATTATTTACACTGTAATTCATAGAGGACGACGTAGACTAGTCCGTTCCGTAAATCCTAAATGATATTTTAGTGACTGTTTCCTGTTCATTTATATACAAATAAGCTTATGTTGATTCGTTATATGATTGGTTTATATTTACTTGTTTAGTATTGGCCAATCGAAATTAGCCAATAAGTGCGGTTGGTGTACGAATCAATCAAAGTGGAAGAAAATTGTCTAAAAATAATTCGAATAAGAAGATGGAAATTGTCAGGTACTTTTATTAGCAAGAGTGGAGATATTATGTACCGGTTAACATCATACTATAAAAGAAACATAACTTTGCAACCGGTGAACTTTGACCCATAAAAAAGTGAGCATAATAACAATCAGTTACGCCTTAACTCCCTGATCATTGCCCTCCGTGTTCCTTTTATAGACAAAACAGCAAACATACACTACACACTAGTCCCGGATTTCCGGCTTTTCAATATTAGGCTTACTTTCACGCACGACTTAGTGAGTACAACCCATCTATTACTGCTATATGGTATATTTTTAATAACAAACCCTCTGCAATAGATTGGTAGCATCTATGAATTCGTCTAAGGTTGTCAGGTATCTGGGTCCTTTCGAAAACATTACTGATATCCCCTACTGTTGGGCACTCAGTATTAATTTGACTCGTTGATAGGATAGGGCTGTCCATAATACTGAATAAAATTAAAAACCAGAGATCGTTTTCTATCATTGCTCCCGATAACATCATAAATGACAGTTAGGAACGAACATGTGGACAGTTAAAATCCCAGGCGGCAGCAACACTTATTTTAACTAAAAAAGCTTTGATTTTCATCATCTACAATACAATACTCAAAACAAAATGGACTAACTTTTTATAACATAAAACAAGCGAGTGTACCTGCAGAAATACATTGACTTGAGTAGCCGCAACAAAAACCGAGAGAACAAAAACAGATTTCATGAAAATTTGCGACAACATTTGGAGTATTACATTAACCGCGTAATTTCAGCACACTGAAACACTGAATTATGCAGCTACACAAAAAAAACAGAGGATAAAAACAGGACAAGGAAAACTGACCTCCATTGCTTACAAAGATGACGGATATAAAACAATTGATAAGTGTGTATCGAATTATGTTGAATATTTATTCATTTTATTGAATATGGGATTTAGTTCGATTTCATTAGTGGTCGTGAATAGATGGTCAAAATTGCAATTCAAACTATAGGAACAATAAGACAAGTAGTATGTTAACTTGAACTTTAAAGTTTAATGATACTAATCATGAAAAGGATCTTGATTTGATTACTAGTTACTAGTCATTTTCATGTTTTCTAGGATCTATTGACAATTTCATTTGGTTGAAAGAGTTTCGAGTGTTACTAAAAATTAACCTTTAGGAATTGTTCAGCATTAAGAATCAGTGTTATGGCATTTTTGATTCAAATACCATTTTGCAGGAGGTTAGTTAATGTCTTAACATAAGTTTAATAACTTTTGATAATTTTCCGTTGAAAATAAACTAAGTTTATACTTGTGAATCGAATTAAATGTCCACTTCAAGATGATAACATCTCAGATTCGATTTGTTAAATGGTCACTGTTTCAGTCTACTAAACTCATTAAGATGAGTTTGAAAGAGCTACTTTGTTGTGACTTTAAACCGGGCTAGTTATCACGTGATTTATCCGCCAATCGAAATACGATTTATACACTCTAAACACTGTGTCAAACCAATGATGTTTGACCAGTATGAGCAGCCTAGCGTCCTTATTGGTCCTACATTCGCCTAGCTTGTCCACTTTAGTCTTGAACGTCACTAACAGCTTCTACTACGCGAATCATTTATTTAAACATGATTGGTTTATATACCAGGCGAACAGACCGCATCACACTATAAACTAGGAAATAACATTTGTACAAGAACTAGCCAAAAAGTGGCTTTGAGTATGAGAGACTGTAATCAATAAACTGAGTACAATTTAAGAATAATAAATCGTATAATAATAATCTATAGGTCAAAACGAAGCTTATAATCAGAGGAATGTAGATATACATAATCTAGTTACTGAGCCGTTATACAATAGGAATATAAATATACAATATTAATTCATAACTATATCTCGAAAGTTACCTGTAATTTGATCTCTACTAGGATATAACACTACTCAATGCGCTATTTAGGCATTTTAATATACCATCAACATATACAACTATGAAAAAGATGACAAGATCAAATTAAAACATGTTTCTCTTTTTACCTAATTGAATTTACAGGGTAATACATTGATGAATAAAAGTTTGTTATTTATTTATTTAAATACATAAACATTGATACAAGAAGGCAGCAAATAAATATGCGCCGCATAAATCATTCGATTTGTGTGAAGGATAGGATACTGCACGAGTGCACAATCCGAAGCTTTCGACTATTCCACAAGGCAGTGGAGAAACGTTAGGAGATGCAGTCTCATGGTCGCCGTTGAGCAACGATTGGTTCATACGCCACTTGATCCCTCAGGATCCTGTATCCCATGTGCATCATTGGTTGGGAATCATGGTTTTTCAACCCTCGTAGGTGGACCATCCGTATCCACCAACTGGTTAAAGTATCGAACATTCGCTTTTCATCCTCTCGATTTCGTAAACAATAGTAATGCCAGGAGAAGTCAGCGAGTAGGACTTGTGTGGCAGTGGTTGTATGCACGTGGCTGCATGGAAGCAGGGAGAGCTGATCCTCTCCACCCTTGACCGTGTCAAGGCATTTTGTGGCAATTCAGTTACAATTCAAGTTTACTTATCACTATTGTAAAAATAAGAACAGTATTCGACAACCAAAATGTGTCCTAGACAATCTAAATGTTTATTAGTTGTCAACATTCGATTATCTCTATATTTAAAGAGAATTTTCTCTTGTTAATCACATTAGTTTTTCTCTATGTTTTCATTATTTTTTTACATAAAATTACTTACTTTGAAACATGAATGAATGAAGTCAATAGATTTGTTTTCTTTACAATTCCATCCATCTGTTCCATTTATTTGTACACACACAGACACACACACATTTCAATGAATCCCATTCATCCACTGAACTGAACTGAACTATGAAAGTTACTCATAAAGATTCGTTTGATATTTTCACATGATCATGATCTCTTTTTGTCAAAGTAACATGCACATATCATTTAGCTTATGTAGAAAAAAAAGTCAAATCAATACGATGTAGATATATAATTAGAATCGTTTCAATGATAGTTACCCTGTTCTTCATCTTCTTCTATTTTATTCGACATTTCATTGAGTTATGATTATATAATAAGCCTAAAGGCAAATATAATATGATCACAACCACGTGATCAATCTTCAACATAATGGAATTTCAATTCAATATGGTTCATATTCAATCATCATTAATGTTTCACCTGTTGTCTATTCAGATCATAGAAATATCAAGTTTGTTTATTACAATATAACATCATCGTTGTTTAAATGTGTTTGTTTTTAATGTATTTGATTTATGCCTTTAGGCGATCTAATTTACATTGTCAAGTTGAATTTGTTTATTAAAGTGATTAGTAATAATGGGACGAAACGACCGTCCAATGCTTCCAGGTTTTCAATGATGGTCTAACATCAATCGGTTTATGATCTCAATCATAAACTTAACAATCTCCACAACCCCCATGCTAATAATTTTCTTTTCGCTTCTTCTTTTTTTTGTTTTTTCTTTTTGATGTAAAGTCATAAAGGTTAAATAAGCCCATAATTAATTACCACCTAGTGAGTAATTGAAAGGTGTTATCTAATGAATAAACTTCAATAGAAAAAAGATTCATATACCAACCCAATTAGAAAAAAAAACAAAAAATAAACGAATAATTATTAATTGAATTAATAAAAGATAAGAAGTTAATAAACAGATGGTTTAAAGAAGGGAAAGGGGAATAGATCATTCATTGGAACATTGAACCATGATATAATTTTTTTTTGTCTCTCTCTTTGACCATCTCATTTCATCTATTTACTTATTTATTCAAAGTGAATAATTCAGATGGTAGAGAATATGATGATCCAAGATGAAGTATTAAAGAGTGAACATATTGAAGATCTATAAAAGTCATTTATTGAATAGACATTTGTTTTTATCACTTTCTGGTTACACCCTGTGGTTGAGAGTTCTTTTTATTGTCATCATATGACATGTATGATAAATAAATCAGTAATTGAAAAGTTTTTCGATTGAATCACAGTGATAAGCAGTTTATTTGGGAATATGTTTAATAACCATATAGCAGAAATTTTATCCTTTGGTTAAAAGTATTTAGTTGATGGATTCGAACCAAACTGGATTGCGTAAGGATCGTTCGTGCACAGACCAAATTACAACACTTTGGATCATCGTTGAACAATCGATTGAATCGAACTCGTCAGTAAACATCAACTTCATTGACTATGAGAAAGCATTTCACAATGTGGACAAGAGAACTTTATGGAAACTTCTTCGACACTATGGAGTCTCTGAGAAGATTGACAATATTATCCGAAACTCATAAGACGGACGGCAAGTCAAACATGGATCCATTACAAATAGGGACCGGAGTCAGACAAGGCTGTATATTCTTCCCCCTCCTCTTTCTTCTAATGGTTGACTGAATTATCAAGACCTCGACATCTGAGGGAAAGCACGGAATACAATGGATAGATCAGAATCAATTAAATATTGGATCTCGCAGATGATCTAGCCCTTCTATCCCAAATTCAGATGAACACACTTACTGAAGCAGCAGCCTCTGCATCAGTAGGCCTCATTATATATCAAGGAAAAAGCAAGGTTCTCAAATACAATAGGGAGAACATCAACCTAATCACACTCGATGGAAAAGCTCTGAAAAATATGGAATACTTTATGTACCTGTTTAACAAGGAGAACCGGATGCAGACGTAAAGGCTCTTTACTCAAACACTAACAGTCGAGTCAGAACATATGGTGAACTGTCATCTGATTTTGCAACCTCAAGTGGTGTCCGTCAAGATTGTCCACTTCCTCCATTTTTGTTTAATTTCATCAGAGACCTACTAATGCAAATAATGCTCTCATCCACTGAATTTTCGGGCATTGATCTCCTACCACGAGGTCCACTTATCGAATTGGAATACGCAGATGACATAGTTCTGTTTGATGAAGACGCTGATAAAATGCAGTGTTTTGGTAGCACTGAGCAACAATGCCAGAATGTTTGGGATGCGCTTCTACCCCTCTAAATTCATGTTGTTGCTTCACGACTGACTGGCCTGCATCAGCACCTGAATTAAGGATAGGGAGTAAAGTGGTCGAGTGCGTCAACAACTTCACTTATCTATCTTGGAAGTCTGATCATCCCTAATGTGTTGATGTCATACGAAATCTGTGCACGGATTCAAAAATCTCGTTTGGTTTTTGCCAAGTTACATCACCTGTGGCGAAGGAGAGATATTCGTCTGTCAAATAGAGGGGAGTTTACTGCACGGCAGTTCATTCTGTTATCCTACTTTACGGTTGCGAACTGTGTCCATTAATGGTAGAGTTTGCTCGTAATTTACTAGTATTTAACCACACATATCTCAGAAATATTGCTCCCATCTGCTGTGATCACCGGGTAAGTAATAGTGAGGTGAGACTCAGGGTATTAGGGAATAATGTTAAATCAGTTGATGAGGTTGTGAATTCTCATCGACTGAGATGGTTGGACGACGTGCTACGTGTGCCTGAACACCGACTACCACGACGCGCAATGCTGACTAGTGTTGTAGACGAATGGAAGAAAGTTAGGGGCTGCCGAAACAAAAGGTGGCATCAATCCATGCAATCACCAACTTCTGGTGTGAGCCACGTTCGTGGATGCAGACTACTTTGCTGATGTCCACGCGACTATCATTAACAGTGGTTGGTGACTGTGGATGACATGTTTCAGGATCGATCACAATGGCGTAGCTGTATACACTCTCTGTTTTTTCCTTAAGGCATGAGATTAAAATTACTTCATATCTTTGTTTCTACGAACTTTCTGTTATACATTACTACGATTGAAGTGACTACTTCTATGAATTCAGTGTTCATCTTGTTGTGCAACTTGGACCGATGCATATATGTGGCTGATCCTACGTTGTAGCTAATGTTTACTTTTAGGAAGTGTTCACCTTTAATATTGTATTAAGTTTTTCTACTAAAAATTTTTATTACATAGAGATGAATAATTGATTTATGAATTTAGTCCCTGTTTACTTTGATCACATAATACACTGTACGAATTGGTAGATTCAATTGGAAAGACAACAAAAATTGTTGATTGAATTAAAACAATGTAAAATTGGCGCTAGTTTAAAACAGTGATATATTCATTATTTTTGATCATTTGAAAGTCTAATATTCATTCAATGATTTACTATGCATAACGAATGTATTCTATAATTGTTATAATGAATTATTCTTGCATAGGAACTGAACATAATAAAACATACTTTTTCTAGTAATCACTCATTAGATTAGATGGATGGATGAATGAATAACACAATAGTTTATTTGTAAATTGTTTTAATTATCATCAAATCATAATTGGTTTGTATTAGAGTTACTTTTGAGGAATAAGAAGAAGAAGAAGAAGAAGAAGAAGGAAGAATTTCAGTTGAATAATGTACATGTCTAAAAGAAAGGGAAACAGTTGACAAAATATTACAAACGTACAACAGTATTATTGTAATGATAATAATATTCATAATGTACCGATGAAACAGTCAATTGAATAAACTGTACAATATAAAAGATGAAATAGACAAATTATGTGTAACAATAAGGAATTGGCCTAAGATATTTATTCCATTTCTCTTTTATATTGTCAATTTCATTAGTTTCTTGATTATTTGTTTGAATATTACTATTTTGATTGTTATTCGGATCAATGTTTTGATGATGATTATTGTTCATTTGAGGTAAAATCCAACATTTTGGCAATTGTAAACTAGTTAAACTATCCAATACATTTTCATTAGTAGGAATATCCATCTTAAGATATTTATCCCAAGCATATCTATAAAAGAGTGAAGGTATTAAATTATGCAATATTATACAAATTGTGTATCACGTAACAGTTCAAAGTACCTGATGACATACAGCTGTTGACACATAGAACATTGAGCCAGAAAGTACTACAATTTATAAATATCAAACGATAAATAACAGGAAAATTGCCTCCAAACGCCTTCGTATGGCCGAGAGTGAGGAGAATCAGCTCTTCCTCTCCAAATACTCTCACATGACCACGTGCATACAACCACTGCCACACAAGTCCTACTCACTGAATTCTCATGGCATTGCTGTTGTTTACGAAATTGAGAGAATGAAAAGCGAATGTCCGGCGCCATAACCGGTTTGGTGGATACGGAGGAGTTGGAAAACCATGATTCCAAACCAATGGTGCACATGAACTACAGGATCCTAAAGAAACAAATGACGTATGAACTTATTATTGGTCACCGGCCACCATGGGACTGCATCTCATAACGTTTCTCCATTGCCTTGTGGATTAGATCTTTAGGTCGAAGGTTTGGGGTGTGGTCACCTAGGAAAACCACCTGCTTCTTTTTGGGCACCCAGGCAGTATATCAGCCCTCATATAAATCGAATGATTTATCTGGTGCATATCTGTTTGGTGCCTCTTTGTAAAACTGTTTAGGTGTTCAAATAAATGAATAAATAATCTCTTATAATGCATAGTTTTTCGGTAGAATATGCTATCTGAAAATCGTTCTTGCTAATAGTCATTGGGAAGAGTGAACTTTTAACCTAGGAAATTAAACATTTATTACATAATATAAAACTACACCGACAACTCGAGATTGGTATAGAAACTAAAGAACAATCAAGTCTGAGATAATTGATTGGCATTTAACAAATGGAGTATTTACTATATGGATCTCAGATTTTACTACGAGATTTTGTAATTTTGTATTCAAATACGTTTGGTTGTCCCGCACTTGTGTTCTTGTTCACTACACAATGACAATTTTCAGACATTATTACCTCCCATATGTGACGACGAAGTTGAGAAGAACCAAAGTAATTGGGACACGTCAATCAATTTACAAAGAAATGAATTTAGATCCTCACTACAAAACATACATTTATACCAGCGACTATAAGTGATATATATGTATGCAAAGGTAATGATGAGACCATTACACTGACAAAACTTTGGAACCTAAACCCAATGACTGGAAATCAGGTGTCTAAAACAAATAACCACTGTTCCATATTTTAGTGTACATGTATTTAGTTGAATGATATCTGTTTATTATCAGTACTACCATTAGTGTCGAAGAAATAAATAAAAATGTAAAACCTGCCTGATTCGTATGAAATCACAGAAATTATAATCAGCTTGATGATAAAAACGTTCCCAACGTTGTGGAATCTCTATATTAAAAAAAAAATTAAACTTATGCATAGTTCGAATCAAGTATACACAATGAAATATTAATCCAACTTGAAAGTTGAACAATAGGTTCAAAACTAACAAATTACAACAAATAAATTCACGGTGGGTGTGGTGGATTAGTTGAAGCTGGACATTAACACTGTTGGATGCCGGCCGGTTCAATGGTCTAGAGGTTAAGCGCTCACACGCAAGACCGATAGGTTCTGGGTCCGAATCTCGAGAGGCGGCGGGATAGTGGATGCGCACTGCCGAGGAATCCCATAGTATCAAGAAACAGCTGCCCAGTGCTTTCAGTTTTTCTATGGTAATCTAGCCTCAATTAACTCATGATCTCATCTATTAAAATTACTATAATATCCACAAAACCCCTTCTGTTGTTAAATTTATAAAATTTAATTATACTATTTAAGTAGACAAATACTGAACAAGATAATTTGTAACAGTACGATTGTTTTTATTTACAATAGTAAACAAATACACTGAATACATGGATTTGTTTACAAATTAATAAAAACGTATACGATTAACAAATGTATTATTTTTTCCAGATTTTCAACAAGAAATTTAAAATCTATTCATTACTGGAAGAACCTTCTATAATAGTTGAATTGAAAAAGAGATAGGTGATTTTTGTAAGCAATGATGGATAGTGGCCAGCAGTGGAATCCAGGATGCACGTTTCATCATATTTGGGACTCGTCAGCTGGATCTACCTGGATCCCAGAGTTGATGTTCACTTTTGGACTCGAACCCAGTACCATTCGCTTTAAACGCCATCGCATTATCCACTTAGCTACTGAGTCCTGATAGCCACTTGCTTGTGTAATGACTGATCAATTGCAGTCTTAAACCTCAGTGGGAAGATACAAGCCAAACAATATCAAGCGGATTTGCTTTCAAGTGTTTACAATTACTTCACTCAGATACATTTTACATGTATACGATTTCACTAGTATTTACTTGATTAAACGAAAGAGATTATAATTGTATTTGGCCAATGTCTTAACATCTCAATGATTATTTTTCTAGTTGAACTTTTAGTGAAGTATGCTACCAATAATAAGCCACAATAAGTGGAATATTAATATTATGAAGAAAAAAAAGGGTCATGCGATCAACCAATCAATAAATGAGTTAATTAAAGTAGTAATTAATGAAAGATACAACTCAACTGGAAATACAATCACAACATCATTCATTGATGTGAGTTTGTTTCATATTTATCTAGGATTCAATGAAAGATTACAACAACATCCACTACCAGTCTATAATTGCTAAGTTTGTATGTCACTAAATTCCATGATCTGTAGGATACCAACAGAGTTGTCTTAACAAACAAATATATGCTAGGCTTATACAACTAGATTTCATACCACAGTATCAAACCATACACTAACCACTTGTCGTCATTTCTATCCAGTCCCAGCACTAACATATAATGACAGGTAATGTAGAACTTGCTATGACTTTTTAAATATGATCTAAAATACCTTTGCATACTGATCAAAACATTGAAAAATTATTTTTTGCAGTCATAGAATAAAAATTACAGTGTTGAACGTATCAAGCGCTTAGTTCTATCTCTTGATATGCAAATATATACTATCCCTAATTCCTAACCCTAAACCATTGATTATGCAACAAATATTAGCTTGATGGCACTACAATTTATGGATGAGTTAATCAGACAGTGTCTCTTATATTTTTGGGCGGAATTCATTCATCCATGTGACTACAATGCTTAAAAACCGTAATCCTAAACCACGAGCTCTTACCCTAATTACCTAAACCAAACTAGGAATAATGTGGGTCCTTTTTAACCGTTCAGTAAAACCAGATAATAAATGTACATTAAGATGAGTTTATATGTCATTGTATTTTTAGATATACAGACAAAGTAACCTGTAGAAAACATTAATTAATTCATTAATTATGTTAAATCGGTTTAAAGTCGGCACTATTATTTTGATTTCTATAAACTATTAATTTAAAAAGGCTGTTTTCTGATCGGTTAGAAGACAGGTGAAAATCCGTCTCGAGTGTTTTAACGTCGTCTATATACTATAATTTCACCTATACGGAAATAGATAAGTATTTTTACTAACCCTCAACAAACACGGCGCTATATATATATCTCACTAGTATTTTGAAATTAGCATTTTCAGAGCACACTTACTGGCAGTTCGTCTCATTATACGCTACGACTATTTCATAGGGGATATGAATACTAAATACACAACTGTTTGTATAGTGTAAAATGTAAACCGTTATGAGTCAATTGTCCTATAATCATTTACAAGAAACATTTTAAAACTATCTTTTTTGTTGTGTTGCTCTCTTCAATACTGAATCACTTTATTGAATTAGTGAACATTGTTATAATTGAGTAATATGGATAAATATATATTTAAAAATCATTCCGATGAATTATACATAAGAAAGTTATAAAGTAAACAAGATACTTACTGGAAGAATTATTGGCAGAGTAATTTCCAAAAAGTTCCATTTTTATTGATTTTGGTAAATTGGGCACATGAATACAATAATTACCTTCAGTTCGAGATACTGTATTATAGTTGCTTTTGGATTGACGATTTACAACATTTCTTATTGCATCCTTTAAGAAAGAAAAATCAAACATAAACAAATTATAGATCATATGAACCATGAAGAAAAAAAAACAAAAAAACATTCACTTATGGACATTTCTTCAACTTTCTACTATCAAATTCATATAGATCTAATCAATGTAAACTTTAGAAAAATTCAGTCCAGTCACTCAGCTTTAATTTAATCCATGGAGAAAACAACACAGTATGTTAGAGGTTATTGAATTATTAGTAATGTTACATAATTGTGAAATCTAAGAGATCACAATGACGAAAAGAACACTCATAATGGTAAAACCAATTACTTATCAAATACCTACCTTTCACTCTTCTAGTAAGTCATCTACAATGTAGGACCAGGCACATATATGCATCGGCCCAAGTTGTCATACCAAGTTAGCATAAAAAAATGGACACAAGATTCATAAAAGCAGTTACTTCAATGGTAGTGTCGTGAACAAGAAAACCAGTGGGAACAATCGAATGTATTTAACACAGAATTACAGGACATGTTAATAAAATATAACAATCATAAAGTAAATGCATAAGATGCAAAATGTCCATCAATTGTCTCAAAATGACTCAGACTTCATTGTTCTTGCATTTTCATACAAATTGCATTCTGTTTCAATTCTTTACTGTTCGATCCTTTAGTCTCTCTGCTGCCAGACCTTCTGTTCACGACTAACATCACATACTACTTATGTCAATATAAGTAGCAAACATCACAGGAGTAATATATATAAATAAAGATTCCATATAAGGATATCATACTGGGAGAAAGAAGTAGTTCGTAGAAAGAAAAGAATAAAGTGATTTTATTCTCATGCCTTAAGGAAAAAACAGAGAGTGTATACAGCTACGCCATTGTGATAGATCCTGAAACATGTCATCCACAGTCACCAACCACTGTTAATGATAGTCGCGTGGACATCAGCAAAGTAGTCTGCATCCACGAACGTGGCTCACACCAGAAGTTGGTGACTGCATGGATTGATGCCACCTTTTGTTTCGGCAGCCCCTAACTTTCTTCCATTCGTCTACAACACTAGTCAGCATTGCGCGTCGTGGTAATCGGTGTTCAGGAACACGTAGCACGTCGTCCAACCATCTCAGTCGATGAGAATTCACAAACTCATCAACTGATTTAACATTATTCCCTAATACCCTGTGTCTCACCTCACTATTACTTACCCGGTGATCACAGCAGATGGGAGCAATGTTTCTGAGATATGTGTGGTTAAATACTAGTAAATTACGAGCATCCTCTACCATTAATGGACACAGTTCGCAACCATAAAGTAGGACAACAGAATGAACTGCCGTGCAGTAAACTCCCCTCTATTTGACAGACTAATATCTCTCCTTCGCCACAGGTGATGTATCTTGGCAAAAAACAAACGAGATTTTTGAATCCGTGCACAGATTTCGTATGACATCAACACATTAGGGATGATCAGACTTCCAAGATAGATAAGTGAAGTTGCTGACGCACTCGACCACTTCACTCCCTATCCTTAATTCAGGTGCTGATGCAGGCCAGTCAGTCCTGAAGCAACAACATGAATTTAGAGGGGGAGAAGCGCATCCCAAACATTCTGGCATTGTTTCTGTGTGCTACCAAAACACTGCATTTTATCAGCGTCTTCATCAAACAGAACTATGTCATCTGCGTATTCCAATTCGATAAGTGGACCTCGTGGTAGGAGATCAATGCCCGAAAATTCAGTGGATGAGAGCATTATTTGCATTAGTAGGTTTATGATGATGACGGATACCACTTGAGGTTACAAAAGGAGATGACAGTTCGCCATAAGCTCTGACTCGACTGTTAGTGTTCGAGTAAAGAGCCTTCACAAGGTTTGTTTACTTCAGAGGTACACCTTGCAATGACAGACACTGCCACAGAACCTCTCGGTCTACAGAGTCAAATTCTGCTTTTAAGCAGAAAGACCAACGCTGTCGGACGCCGATAAACATGCCTGTGTTCTAGAACCTAACGAATGGTGAATATGTGGTCGATGCAGCCACGACCAGGTCTGAAGCCGGTCTGATTTTCTCGTGTTTGCAGTTCACGACTCCTTGTTAGGCGCCCGACAATTATTGAGTATTTTAGACATTATATTAGACAAACTAATCCCTCTGTGGATATCATAGGATAATTTTGATCCGTTATTATATATTGGGATGACCAGTGATTGCGGCCAGTCAGATGGGATCACGTCTAGTCCCCAGATTTTAGCTGAAATATTAGTTAATTTAATCGCTAAAACTAAACCATCATCCTTAAAGACCTCTCAAGTTATTCCATCTGGACCGGCTGCTCCTCCTTGTCTCAGATTAGCTATAGCTTTTTTATACCTCAATTAGAGTGGGGAGAAGCCTCTTTCAATGTTCCATTCAGGGTGTTTGGAAATGGTGGGTAGGTGTAAAGAAGCTGAACTTCTCCTTAAAATGTTCCACCCATCGTCCTAAGCGTCTAGACTGAGAGCAGGTAGTGCCATTTTTTGAGATTGTCTCAGTTACACTTGACTTTTTATTTCCAGTTTCTTTTATTAGCTCGAAAAGCTATCTCGTGTTACCTACAGGTGTTACTTTTTCCATCTCTTTTATTGTCGTTGCTCACCACTGCTCACGATCGTTCCTCAGACTTTTGGTTAGCCTAGATCTGATTTGTTTCCGCTCTTCATCGTGTTCGGATCCTGATAAGTTTACGAGAGTCTACTAGTGCAATAGATGTAGCAGAAATTCACTGTTTTTTCGTAACCCATTGGTTCAAATCACTAATAGATGTCACTGCTGTTTCTACAGCTGTTCGTATATCTTTCCAATCAACATCTGGGTCAGCTTCGTTTTCAAAGCTACCTAAGTGTGACCTCAGTTGCTCATGGAGTTTACCTTTGGCTTTATCATCGCTGAGTCCAACTCTAACGTGCCTTTTCTGAGTCCAGTGAGGCGCAAGCAAATTAGTGATCGTATTAGAACAAGATCAGAGTCTAAACATGTGCTTCAGAACGAACGTTAGTCCTCTATTGGGATTCTCCAACGATGACCGATGGCAATATGGTCTATCTGAGTCTATCGTTGGTTTGGTGCAGGCGGTCGCCATGTTAGACGATGTCTCCTTATGCTTAAAATTAGTGCTTGCTAAAAGCAAGCGATTGTCTGAGCACAGTTGCAGCAGACGGTCACTATTACCTGTTCGTTTAGCCGGAATAATAAAATGCCCACCTAAGTATTTCTGTTTGATTTAAGCTACCTACTTGGGCATTAAAGTCACCTGCTACGAGTACAATGTTTGAGTGCTTAGCTTTTTAAGAAGTTCAGAAAGCTTCCTGCAAAACTCATCTTTCACTTCATCCGGACTGCAGTCAGTAGGAGTGTAGACAGAAATGATCAAAAGGCAAAGACGTGTATCCCTATCCTTCGAGTTCTTACGGAGCCGTCTAACAGAATAGCACATAGGCGACTATTAACAGGGATCTATTCTAAAACTGTTCTGACCCCATACTTAGTGCTATGCGTACAACCGCAAGTCCATAAGAATTCGCCTTAAAATCATTAGATAAACGGAAAGTGTATCTCGTCGACACTACATTTTGGTTAGGATGCTGTATGTGTAATTCGGAGACACAGCGTACATCAATCGTTCGAGAATCTAGGGTCTTAGCCAAGAAGGCCTGTTAGCCTATTTGACATAGGGTACGTACGTTGAAGGCTCCAATGTGTAGTTTGGAGCGAGGTTTCAGTAGACCTGTGACAGCAATTAACACACTAGAATCGTTGGCCATGGTGACACTCGAGGAGGAAGTTTAGAGTTGATAGTTGAGGTACGAGGAATAATAGAACAAAAGAGAAAAACTGATTATCAATACAGTTGTCTTGAGTGCTGTTAAAGGTATGAGGATGGTTATTACTTCCCGGTCGCCCACACCATGGAAGGATTCTTTTAGAGGTACCTGAAAAACATCGGGTTAAAGGTGGTGTTAGTGACCCGAGAGCGTGACCGAAGTTCCGAAGAGACAACTGTTTGAGACCGGTCACACCTGACCTGTTTATGGGTAATTTTTGTGTTAGCTCCATACTTGTTGAAGCCTTACTACCAGAGACAGAAATTAGTGGGATAGGATGGTGTGCATTTTTAAGGTCGACCTGTTCCCACCCTTCTTTTGTGAGAAGGTAGGATCGGTGTCATGATGGTTGTCTGAGGGAAACACCTTACTGCCTTCACACCTTTGTACAGTCAGCAGTACGACTTCGCCCTCGGACCTTGGGTTTGTTGCTTTCAGTCTTACCGCTCATCAACCGACCTGTCTGGCACGGTGTGATCGTGAGGAACGATTGTTTCAGTCAGTATAGCTCGATTGGTTTATCACAATAGACAAGCACCATCACCAGATCAAGGTAGCAACAACGGTCGGTCACTCTTGCAAGTTATAATTGAAAAATACCATAAAATTCAAAAACAATTAAGTAATTCTCCGTTATAGCTACTTATTACTTAAGAAAGCGCACAGAAGGGGGTATTTTCATAATAAAACAAAACTAACGATATAATAAGACTGAAAAAATTGAACTGTTATTTGAAAACATCAAGTGATTTACTAGATATAAAAAGGGGTAATATCTCTAAACTTAAAGTACAAATAATCATTTGATTGAATAGTTTATATTCATGTATTTAATCTTTTGTATATATGATTATCTTCATTTTTTATGTGGATCCTATTGGGATTGACATATCTTACCAACAGCATTTGCATTATGAACTGACAAAACAAGAACTCTTACTACCAAGTTTATAGGAGAGGTTTATTATATTTTGTGCACTGAAAATGGAGCTCTGTATCACGAAAGTTGTCTTCACAAATAGATGGTCATGCTTACATAGACACATGAAATTCCTAAGGATGTAGATGTTTTCCTCCTTGCCTCTTTATTGTCGAGTGACAAATTAAACTAAAATGAATTATTAAGTGTTATGTTAGGTCATGACAGCTAGTTTACAGTTTCATAATGCAATTGAATTGTTTGATAATAAGCGCAAATATCTAATATGAATATTTAGTTTCGATGTCGTTAAATCTTAAACTTAGAAATTGAATAATAATAGATACTAGTTCACAATTGATTGGTGACTGGGTGGTGATCAATGTCACGTGCGTCAAGTCCTTCTTAGTGCAGATCGAATGATATCGACCACGTTGCAATGTGGCCACTAGTCTAGGTGACTCGACATTGTGTGCATTATGTTGAGATAAGATGATAGTTAGAGGTGGTCAACAGGAAACCCCGGACCCGGGTTCCGTGCTATTTGGCACTTGTCAGCAAGGTGTACCTGTCATCTTGAGGGAACTGGTACTCCTTGACGGATTCTATCCCGTGTCACCCAGCTTCACAGTCAGACACGTTACCACTGGGCTATCCGGGCCGCGACCAACCTCCTGTAGGACTGAGATGGATTCACAATTGGCCATGACTTACATAGTATGAGTGTATATACAGTATATGTGAATTTACATTTAAGTGTATTACATCAGGATGGAGATAATGTTAGTCAAAATTGAAATACTATTTCTGAGATGAAATATATTCTAATACTCCTTTTTTTGTTATTCTTACAAATATTTCAATTTGATTAGAACAGTTGTGAATGATACAACTGATTACTCCTCTCTATAATCAAGTCAAATTGTGATGATGTAACTACACAATAATATACACTAGACAATGACTCACTTTAACCTTTGAATATAATGATTCCAATTTCTGGATTTGAACAGATAATTGATCTTTTAGTTCATTTACATCTGAGTTGAATTTTTCATTGAGTTGATAAGGAAAAAGTCCACCTGAAAGATGAAATATTTTTGAAAAAAATGAATTTTGTACTTCAATTTAATTATTAGCTAGTTACTTTCTAACTATTATCAGTATCGACATCAGAATTGGATTAAACTGATTCTATACTACTGATTTTTTCATATGAACATACAAATCTAAATGATCAGTATAGGGTTGTGGAGATTGTTAAGTTTTTGATTAAGATCTTGAACCGATTGGTGTTAGACCACCAGTGAAAACCTAGAATCACTGGACGGCCGTTTCGTCCTATTGTAGGACTCCTCAGCAGTGCACATTCACGATCCCGCCACCTCGAGGGATTCGAACCCAGTGCCTTCAGTCTCGTGCGCGGCCGCCTAACCTACTTGACCGCTGAGTTGGCATGCAACGGTGTTAATGTCTAACTTCAACTAATCCACCTGTCGCGCAGGTCGACCTGTCTCTACCTGACACGGAAAAACTCCAATCACAATCTATAAGATATAGTCATCTGGACATTGAGATTTTGATTAGATTACAAATCTTAACATACATGAGTTTCATCTGGTTAAGAAATACCAACAAAGAGTGTATATTTGAAATTTCAATACAAATACGCATTAGATTGTTATGAGAAGTCAATTATCATTTTAAAGTACAAAGTTAATTACCTTAAACTTGTTGATAACGTATTTTAATAAGTATTACACTTGGAATTACAATATCAAGCTTAAAATATACATTGAACGGATGAATATAATAATAAACTTAAGGAAATCTAGTTTTATTAATACAACAAACATGTAGATTGTGGATATTTTGGTGAAACTAAAATTTATGGATGACCTTTAGAGACGCTAAAATGTCCTTGAGAGTATCCACCTACTGACTAGGATTAAATGAAGATTTTAAACCTGTATGAATGATAAGGATTGTGATTTACAGTTGATGGTTACGGATAGGGATTAGATTTAAAGTTTTCATCACGAACTGACATTAGTTAAAATGCCAAGACGCTATTTGGTCAAATGGGTGAGTGAATTTCGCGCTAAAATCCAAGATCTGTTATCGTAAATCTGATCGATTCGTCCATAAATTATAGTCTCGCCTGTTAGCATTTAGTTAATCTAAGTCTTATTTAACGAATTATAATTACATTCAATTGACAAATAGTATAATTCACCTAAACTCTTCCATCTAAATACACGTATAAATTATTTGATATAAATTACCTTGTTGTTCAGCTTGTGTTAATCGTGCTGAACGTAATTTTTCTAAATTATCCAAAAGTCTTAAACGTGTTTGACATTCATCAATAGATTTATGTAATATTGTTTTCATTTGGCTTAAATGATGATTGTTATTTTCTTGATTAAGATTAAACCTGAAAAATGAATTGAAAAAAAAATTCATAATTGAATAAATTCTGATAACTGAGTTAGTCAATAAGCTACAACGTAGGACTAGGCACATATATGCATCGGTTCAAGGTGCCATACTTCATTAGCACAACAATATGAACACTAAATTCATAGAAGTAGTTCATTTAATGGTGGTAATATATAAAAGAAAGATTCTATGTAAGGATATAGTACAGGAAGAAAGAATTAGTTTGTAGAAAGAAAGATATAAATATATAATTTCATAGTTTAAAGAAAGACAAAGTGTGTATACACCTACACCATTGTGATCAATTCTGAGCCATGTCACCCAGAGTCACCAACCATTGGTTACGATAGTCACGCGGACCCCAACCAAGTAGTCTGCATCTACCAACATGGCTCAGATTAGAAGTTAGTGACTTCAAAGGCCATGTTTTGGTTTCGCCGCCCCTAACTTTCTTCGATCCGTCTCCAACACTAGTCAGCATTGCGCGTCGTGGTAATCGATGTTCAGGCATACACGCAACACGTAACCCAACTATCTCAGTTGATGAAGATTCACTGAATTACTGACGACTGAATTTTATTTCTAATGAGCCAAACTATTTTGGAAAGAAATTTCACCGTTTTCTTTTTTGTTTTGAATACTAAGTGTGATCGTTTGATCTACTTAAGAAAGGTTTTACTGACCCGGGGATCTGACTCCAATTAGATCGTAAGATTGACTGTTGTCAAAATACACATCCCGGCTATCCTCGTATAAAATTATCGACTTAAATCGAATTACTGAATAACGGAATTAAATAATTCAAATACGAGAATGGATTTTTGAATAGATATATTTTGTACAATCATTGACCTGGACAGATAATCAGAGGTAGAGAAGAAAAGAGAGCGAAACGAAATGACGCGCGGTTGAAAAGGAGTGTGAGCCAACTTAATCAAGCGTTAATCAATATTTATAGTCACACAAAATGGCATATGATGAGTAGGATAAGATGTGCACACACACACACGCTCATATAAAAACAGTCAAGGGTGATAAGTGAATAATTAACAAGGTTAAAACATGACTCAATAAGAATGGATAAATTGACCTGTCTAGAAGCTAGAATAAGGTATATGGGCTCAGCATATCAACCTACACTACAAGTTGAATAGATGTAAATTTGGTTTAGAAAATAAAAGTGTTTATTAAATGTCCTATTCTGTTGAATAGACAAATAGTATCAGTACAAAACAAGATGAAAAAATACAAATGAAACATCAAATGAATTGGAATTGGCTATGCTATGGATCACGGTACCCTGGCTTAGTGGTATTTACTCTAGGCTTCAGTGGCTATTATTTACTTGATCAGGGTATCTAGCCTGTCGCATGCCCTGATGGTGTTCTGGGAACTTTCGGGTTGCCTGATCTACCAAGGGCGATGGGACAGTGTATGATGTTATTGTTGTGTGTTGTTCAAAGAGAATTATATGTTATATACATGCAAATCTGCCCCGTTATTGTTTCTATTTCTGGTTCATCAGGGTGCTTAGTACCTGTGTGGTCGCGCCACAGGACTGAGTTATACTATTCAGATTGTAGCGTTATTATTATTATTATCTGCTTTATTCAATATTATATTTTTGACACAATATAGAATTCTCAGCGTAAAGTATTTCAACGAGTTTCCGTTTCTTTCTTCTTGGTCAGTCCTGGCGACAAATATTGAGTGATCGCCAGTTAGATGTTAGCACTTCAGTGAATGAACATCTGAATAATGTGTATTCTTTTCGTTGTATATTGCCAGGAACCACATTGTCTCTTATTGAGTTTTTTGTAACTCTGACAACGAAAGGTTGTACACTTTTCAGAAATACACCAGGATAGGTTATGCGATTCATAAACGTAATGATGTATTAAAACAAACAAAAATCTATAACTTGTTGAAATATCTAGATGGCAGGAACAGGTAGCCCAGATGCTCAAGCAGGCCGCCGTCTGGTTCTCCTATGAAGCGGGACTGAGCTGTACTGTTTGGGTTGTCACGTCAAAGTCAGGATGGTATCTGGTTCTCCTGAAAACCAAAGTAAAATTACCCTGACCCGCAGCGGTATATTATAAAACTATGAATAACTATATATGAATTAAAACAAATAATGTTCTCTAACCGAAAAGCTTTTAGGTATTTACATGACTGAAAAAAGAACTTGCATCAAAGCTTAATTCCAGGACCTTGAATATTATTAGTAATCTAGTTACCTTCATTTGATGAATACATCTAAAACTAGTTTTTGTGATTTTATTAAAAGACAGGGAGTAAAATATTTATAGATTGCTAATGTATCATCAACAGATCATATCACAAATATAATGTCTTTTTTCTTTCTTTTAACAGTAACTTACAATTAGATAAGATATCAGCTGATGAAGATAACCTTCAAACTACACAAAATCTCAATAGAAACTAAACTAGACACAGGTACTTTTTCTATTAGAAAAGAACATAGGTGTATGTGTAGGTCAAAAAATGTGTTGCATGAAACAATGTGACATACAAAAAAACAACAAAGAAAAGTGTAGTATAGTGATAATGATAAAACAATCATAATTAACAGGAAGAAATTAATCATATGATAATGAAATATATATTGGTCAATTTGGAATCGATAGTAGAATGATTTCCATTAGATTTAGCTTTAAAACAGTTACAGCCTATTTCATCAACTACGGTTTATTATGAGACACAATTACATCCTGTTCTTTATGCTATACTTAACATCATATCATTAGGAAATAAGATTAAATATAATGGTTATTATTATTTATTTAAACACATAAACATTGGTACAAGGAGGCACCAAACACATATGGGCCACATGGATCATTTGATTATGTCAGGGTTGGGTTACTCTTCCCGGGTGCCCAAACCGGAGCAGGTGGTTTTCTTAGGGGGCCACACCCCAGCCATTGACCTACAGGTCTAATCCACAAGGCAGTGCAACAACGTCAGAAGATGCAGTCCCATGGTAGCCGGTGACCAACAATAGGTTCATACGCCATTTGTTTCTTTAGGATCCTGTAGTCCATGTGCACCATCGATTTGTAATGAAGGTTTTCCAACTTCCCTAGGTGAATCCTCCGTATCCACCAAACCGGTTAAAGTGCCGGAAATTCGCTCTTCATCCTCTCAATTTCGTAAACAACAGTAATGCCCCGAGAAGTCAGTGAGTAGGACTTGTGTGGCAGTGGTTGTATACACGTGGTCATGTGAGAGCATTTGGAGAGGGAGAGCTGACTCTCCCCACTCCCGGACGTACCAGCACATTTATAAGAGAAAACAATGTGTAGGCGTGAGGATACTCATTTGAAAGTTTAACATATTCAAGGAAAATAAAATATGGAGTTATATGGTTACAAGAAAGGTGAAGAGATAAAAAAAGTCAGAATGACTTGATTAAAACAATATCTTTACAGTGTATACAGTTGAAAACATTGAGCGACAACTAAAAAACCCAATTACGAAGAAACGTTTGCATCAAATAATTTAATCATTATTAAAGTACCCATCACATTTTGAAATGCCTTTACACGGATAAAGTTACTCTTTTCAGATTTACAATGAGATTTTGCATTATCCAAAGTGGAATTTAAAGATGTGCCAATGACATCAGTCAATCAGTCATACTCAAGGTACATCTTGCCACTTATATGGATCAGTCCAAGTCTCCATACCATATCAATATATCAAGATGAAATTGTCAGCAGAAATCCTAACGTAATAGAAGTAGTATCAGTAGTAGAAATAGTCATTTACGTTTTTGTGAAAAATTGGAGATTTATAGTGAATGGAACACTATCCATGTGATTTGTTTTCCCACAAAAACTGACTCAATACAGCTGAATCAAACTTGTCAAGGAACCTGATTTTAAAAAGCAAAGGTTTAAAGTAGTGTAGTGAACGAGAACACGGTTGGGACAACCAAATGTATTTGGACATAAAATTACAGAATCTCGTACTAAAATCTGAGATCCATACAATAAATATTTCATTTGCAAAGTGTCAATCAATTATCTCAGACTTGATTGTGCTTTACTTTCTCGTTTTCATTCTCTTAGATCTTCTTAACTATCTGCCGCCAGACATTTCACTTTCAATTGGTGATAATGTAGTGGCTGTGCTTCGATAATTAATCACCCTCGAACCGTTATCGTATAATCTTCAACGATGTTTGAAATCAGAAGGCAAAAAGAAGCAGCTACTACAGTTTATTTAGTAGATAATTCGGACCAGACAGCAGAGAGGCAAAATGAATGAGCAAGCGAACTACGATTGTAGCAGTAGCAAGTAGTTGTAGTAGTAGTAGTTGTTGTAGTAAATGGGTGCAAATGTACACATATATATATGTATAGGAAAATGGATGAGTCAGCGAATAGATTAAGCAGTTAATAATGAAGCTAGCAGAATGAATACATGCGTAGGCGCTAAACAATGTTCAAGCATATGTATTTCATACAAGCATAATAATAAAGATAGTACAACAAGTTGTTATATCATGGATGACTTTGTCCACTAAATAAGTTAACAAAAAGGGCTTAACTGGGTTAAATGAAAATAAACCCATTAGCACGTGAGTCGCTATAATAGCTCCCCCCTGCAAACAAAGATATATGGAAAAATGTCTGTGTTTGCACAAAAAATAGTAAACTGAGCAGGGTAGTTACAATCGTTTGAAAAAAAGGTTTGTACAAAGTTAAGATGAAGTTAGTGTGTGCTGTACATTTGTTTTGTGCCCGTCCGTGAGGTTATAAAAAATAATAGCAATAAATAGAAGGAATGCGGTATTGCTTTACATTTTAAATAAAAATTATACGTGTAAGTATAGGGGTACATAAGATATGTTGAGTTTTATAGCGTATAACATGAAATTAGTAATGCATGTGTATACAATGAAGTGGAAGTTATAATTAATATTTAGAATAATAGAAGATTATTAATAGAAGATTGCAGCGACAT